CCCTATTTTAGTATACACATGTACACACCCATATAGACCCTTGAAAGACCACTTGTTTGGAAGGTGTCCAAAGGCCTATAAACTGTCCCCTCAAGAAACAGCACCCCCCCGATGTAGTCCACGGTAGGGTGCAAATCGACAAACGCTCCTCGGCCCTTCTGATTGATTGGGGAAAAGATTGGTGTTTCAAATGACGGTTCCCCTTGATGGTGTGTCTAAGATTGATCCATTTCGGCAAGAATATTCTTTATAATTACTTCTTCGAATCAGGACAACATGCCACCAAGCTCTGCAAGGTATCCTATCTAATCGTTCACCTGAACTCAAACTTGCTCTATGCCCCTAATGACCCAAGGTTGGTCCTTGAACTCTTGCTGCAAGGTTGTTCATTGAACTAATGAACTCTCCTGAATTCTCCACACAATGACCCTCCCTCACATGTGTTGACTTCCAGTCTTGCAGTCTTGCATCCAAACAATTGTCTCTTCTCTTCCTGAAAATTCCTGAACGCATGGCCGAAAAACCGAGTCACCACAGTGTGTCCCAACTTCTTAGCCGCACATCCGGTCACCCGTTCCTCAGCACCCCCACGTGCTCGTCCCTGCCGGTCCGAGCGGAGCGGAACAGGGATCTGAGTTGTGTAGATGGTTGCATATAGCTGCATATGTTACATGCATAAAATTATGAGTTGAAAGCTTGACTTTAGATTTCACCCTTTCAAACTTCAACAGATCCCAGAAATGATAGGGACAATACATTATGATACATGACGATATGATATCCTGTGCTTAGCAAATGGGCGTGGTTGGCCAACACAACTATAGATACATTGTATAGACGCAGGTTGGGGCTTTGCTGTTGCTTCTCGCTTGGGACATGCTGAAGTGTTTCGTGCAATGCGTTGTTGTTCTCTTACATCTTGTGCTGGTGAGTGCAGAAATGATGTTGCGCAAGCATCAATTTCACCACAAGCCGCCACACATCCGGCACCATCCAATGCCTGCAGCCGAACTGGAAGCGTTACGGGAACCACTAACCCTGAGAGATTGCGCTCTTGTGCAAAAACAGTCTGACTCAGCCATCGATGCTCTCCCCCAAAAGGTCTTGCCCTTGGCAACCACTGACGGCCAAAGGGCTCATGTCAGCCCACAGAATGAGACTCGCGTCACTCGTGGCACTCGCGTCACTCGTGGCCTCCGGGCTCTTCAAATATTTTGAGATGATGTCCTCGCCAAGTTGTCGGCACACATGGCGCACACATGGCCACCAAAAAAAGTTCCTCCAGTCGTCATAGTGATCCCAGGCCCCGGAACACCAATCTTTCGCAGAAATTACATGCAAGGGGAGTTGCTGAAGTAAGTTGTTCTTTATGTCCAAAGCTTGTGCGACGGCGACTTGACTCAGCAAATCCAATTGTTCAATCATAGACTCACAAGCAGGTTTCGACAAGGTTAGCTCTGGATGAGTCAGACCAAATCCAGTTCAACACTCGGTGATACTGTTCAACTCTTCAGGTCAGCATTAGCATGTTCATGCATCTTCCATATATTAACAGCATCATCTGTTCGAATTGCATGGATGGTCACAGGTCGTGACTCCAGACCACGGCAGGAGTCCCTCTACCCCGCTCCTCGAGCCACTGGTATCGAGGGTCGATCTTGCCGTCATTGAACCTCAAAAAGGCACACCCGCTGAAAGCGGGAAGCCAGCAAGCCGGATCAGTGTTGATGAGAAGGTAGGGTGTCCAGGTGGGGTGTCCAGTGTCCAGTCTCAAACGGATGGCCGGTTTTAGAGGGTGTTAAGTTTATATGCAACCATCCTCCAGTAGATCGATAGAATATGAACCAATCCGAAAAAAATGACATGGTTTGTCCATGTTTGTCCTATTGATTCTTGGATTTCCATGGATTACACATGATTACCCTATACATTCTATCTACTCTTGATAAACATAAATCTAGACACAAAGACCCCTTTAGTATGGCTTGTCCTGCCTGGATTTCTTCTTTTTGTCGGGCATGGATCTATGTGAGGACGACCAATCTCGTCTCCAGCATCTCCAAAGTGATAGTCAGATAGTCTTTGAGATGATGCTTCAGTGACTCAGGCATCCCCTGGCTTTATACGTTTGTGGTTGAACGGGCACTGAAAAGGACTACTACGGTTTGGAAGCTCAGGTATCCACAGGCCCGCGCCTATGCGACCTGTATATATCCCTGTATGCGGACAAAGCATTCTGATATCCTCTAACCCTCAGAATTGGTGACACCCTCTATAGGTTCCAAAAAAACAAAACAATAGCACCCCCAGGTTTTCGACCCTGTCACGTGGCGAATCACTCCGTTTTTGGTCTCCCATCCACAAGAAACAGCTCCAAGGAACAGTTTTTGCCGCTCCAATAACCTCTGACCATCCTGGCACCGGCGTGCGAAGGCAGTCGTGCTCGGCAGTCGTGCTTGGCCACGGTCGATTGGAAGTGGGCGATGGAGAGAGTGGCGGCTCTTGGTTCGGGTTCCGGTCGAAGACGACTGCGACAGGATTTTGAGATGCTATTCCCGGCAACATACAACATTTCCCAATAAGCACCAGTGTCATGTTGGCCATGTTGGCCAACACAACATCTCCTTTGACCTGAACTAGTACTAGTCTGAAGTTGTACAGTATCGATTGGGCATTGCTTCAGAAGGCTTGTCGGTGCTGCCTGTCCTCTTTTGAGCAAATGAATGGCGACTTGGTCGCAATCAACATCTGAAAAACAAATTGGTTGACAAATGAATTCTGGGGCAGAAACTCTTGGTCACCCCAAAATCTATTGGTGGTAAAGGAACAAAGGATGAATCTTAAACGTCTCTGCAGTCTCTGTGATCTCTGACGTTTTCGTGACTTGTGATTTGCACCCCGTTTGTACGGTGCCCCTCAGTTTGCTGAGTTGGGGATACAAGGTGCTAAAGTCCATCCATCAAAATTTGCTATGGAGTTGCAGGTCATCTGGATTTGGTGAGTGTATTATTGTTTTACACATCCCTCACGTTATCGTTTTTGGTGAGTGTGTTATCCTTTCATGAACAAAACTTCCCATGACCACTCACTGAGTATTCATCACGTTCACTAATTTTGAGCCTAACTCATATGGGAAACCAGCTAGCAGCTAAAACAATCTTCCAGATGGGTTTGATGGAACCCTCGACTTGCACCACATTGGAATCAGGCATGACATGTTGATGCGCGCAAACGGCACTTGGTAAACAAAGCACAGTCTTGCGAACCGCTACTTGATGAGGAACTGGACACATTTGTTTTAGTTCTTGCTCTGCCCACGCGCGAAACACGTTCCTCGATTGTGAAGGCTTCCAAGGGAACCTGAGCGAAGCAAAAAGGAACTCGTGGCAGTCCAGCGATCGCGTGATGAGACTCGGTCCTCGCGAACTGAGTCTCGTGGAGTATTCGTGGGGTGCGCCTTGTTTGTTGCAATACCAGATCCCCATCTTCCCATCTTCCATGTTCTCCCAAACCGTTCACGACGTGTGCTCGTGCTGGCACGGGGGTCGACAATAGAAACTGGGAAAGGAAAAGGCCCACTGATGCCAACTGTAATTGATGCTGAGATCCCTTTATAAAATCCCTATAAGGCACAAATACACTATCTACAAAAAGTATTTTCCTTTCCCTACCAGGCCCACCGGGGCTTTGTCTTCAGGATCTCCAAGCTGATGGACCAAACTCTGCCCAGCGGTAGAAACCTTTTCTGTACGTACCCATCCTGTTCGAATACCAGCAGAATGGGACACAAACGCATTCCGTCTCTCAGTCGTCTCGCTCTCGCCACTTCTGCCGCGGAGCACTGTAGCCCACAGGAAGGCCTCATGAGCCAAGACAGGTCGCTTGGGGCACACGGACTCTCAGCCAATCCAAGGAATCCGTGACCACCAAGACCCCCCTGTCCCGCACAGGGCTTCGATCCCGGCCCTGATGTCTTGGATACCAAAGCCAGCTGCGGATCCTCGTGTCTCCACCAACCAGTGGTTGTCAGCTTGCAAGGGGGGTTCGAAAAATCCCCACATGTCAGCAATCGGATTTGCTGGTAAGGGGTCTCTCCCGCGAGGGCCCGGCATCCTCAGATGTTGTATTGGTGTGGATGGAACAAACCGTAGCCCCTGAAGCAATGGATGCTGATGGCCTCATACTTACACAACAACAAAAGTGACACAACGATTAATTAAGATTGCTACTGGCGATGGGTATCAGCATATAAGGCCCACTGTAAGATACACTGATACCCCCTACAATACCCTACATAAACACGTCACGAACATGAGCCTATCTTTCCAGTAATTCTTGGGTATAGGGTAAGCAATCTCTAAGTTGCTCAACCAGTCAGTCATATTACCAGAACTGTCAAGGTGTGTTCTGGAAGATCATACCTTCTTGTGCAAATCTGAAATACACTAAGGGCCCTGTTAGTAGAATCATACTTGTTGAGTTTCTGGCAGGTGGGGCTGATATCGTATAAAATTGTTGGAGGTCACATGTGTCTCCAGGCTTCTCATCACCCAATCCCGCAGATTGCTTTGAACATCTTTGTCCCATGCCACACACCTGTCCCTTTTTATGGTCAAAGATGAAAGACTCCATACACCAACCGCTTTTGCCCCAATTTTAAGCTCAGCCCGGTCGGAGGAAACTCCTTTTACCGCATCGTCGTCCGCACCATCCCGAAGATCCTCCTGGTCCCACGTGGCCTGGCACCATCTTCGGCCTCGGGAATCTCACCACGCAGAGGAATACATTGGAGGACTTCCACCATTTGATTCTGTGAATCCCTGCATTTTCACTCGATGTGATCATAGGTGTGACATACACCACTTAGCACCAACAAACGCTGTTCATGGCTCAAGAAAAGCATCGTCCGTTTTTTCCCTTGAAGGAAACTCAGGTTATGAGCCCAACGACCTGTTTTTCCATTTGAAGTCCACCCCTGTGGTCCAGGGTTGTTGGCCGCCATGAGTGGCTTCGCTGGGCGGCGGCGGCGCTCCTCCCGCGAAGGAGAGCGCCTGCAGGATCCTGAAGATCGAGAAGGGCGACTTCGAGTGGGCGCGGCAGATGAACGGCTGCAGGCGCTGCTGGAAGAGCGAGAGGGCAGAGCAGCATCGGTGCCGGCGAGGGCGGCAGCGGTTCGAAGGCTGGCTGCAGCTCCAGAGCAGGCCGGGCAAGCGGCAACTACATCCTCGGCGAGAAGGCCGAGCAGAGAACCACAAGGTCAGGTTATGGGCCAGCCAAATGGGCCAGGACAAGTCACGATTGAGTCGGCGCCGGGACTGCTGGACTCGGTCAGGCAGTCTTTAGATGTGTTGCAACGAGCTTTTGGTGGAAATCCTCAAGGTCAAGGGCTACTTGCACCCCTACTTCAACACCACGATCTTGGACATCTAGCCGGTACCGGTCCTGGAGTTCATGCTGGGCATGGGAATGTCTTTGGATCGCCACAGTGTCCAATTCCACCCCGAGGAGGACCTTTGAGCTATGGCCCCACGATTGAATTGGGACCACAACCGAGGGTTCTGGAACCTTATCCCATGGCTACTCCTCCCCCAATGAGTGGGGTGAATGTCAACCCTTTTTGGAGCACACAAGCACGAGCTCATCCTGGTGAAAGTGGGGTGGTGCCTGAGGGGATGCCGCAAGGGGAAGTCAGAAGGTCGCCAAACTATGTTGATGTGGAGGCCATCAGGGAGAAGGTGCTCAGGGAAGCCGAGAATCTCTTTGCAAAGGAGATCAAGAAGGCCACTGGTGGAGCAGAGTCATCATCCTTCGAGTCGGTTCCAAGTGCTGACCGAGAGCCTGGGCGGTCAACGGTCGGGGTGATGGGACCGGGTGGAGGAGGCAATGGGGGCGAATCGACTCGTGGCGATGGTCGAGGGTCTCAACCACATGGTCTTGAGCGTCCACCAGGGTTGCTGAAGGAGGGTGTGTGTGAGGGTCCGTTGAACAGGTCTGAACTGCCTCAGGGGACCGTGAATGAAGTGTTTAGAAGCTTGGAGTTACCACCTCTACCATCTCCTGGCAGCGATGGTGCTTCGCTGGCTTTCGGCGATTGGCTGACGGTGGCGATGCCTCTTATGTCGGACCTGTCATCCTCTGCGAGGGGTTGGTGGCAAGCAAACATCATGGAGGCGGAGGCGCTGTATGAGACTTGGCTGAAGTTGAAGCCGCTGGAGAGGCTAAGGCTTAAGGTTGATCGGCCTTTGCACCCCAGTTATGAACGAGTTGAGCACCGGGGAGTGACTATCCTATTGGGGGTTCTTCCCGATCAAGTTCGAAGGGATGTCATCGCCTCTAGAAAGGTGAGCTGCCTCGGAATTCTGTTTCGGCTGTATACCATTTTTCAACCAGGGGGTTCAGCTGAGAGAACTGCGCTCCTCAAGAGCATCACCGAGCTGAAGGTGGGCAATGGGGTGGCAGACGTTTTGTCTGGAATTCGCCAATGGAGGCGATGGATCCAGCGTGCGCAGGAGTTGGGCCTGACTACACCGGACCCTCTGGTGCTGGTGCAAGTGCTGAACAGGGTCACAGAAGCCCTGGGTCGACATGGTGGTGCTCAGGTCTCATTCAGAATGGCAACAGCAAGGCAAGATCTTGCAGTGGATCAGTGTCCGACGATGGAATCCATCATGGAGTATGCAGAGTATGTGCAGGCGGAGGCTGAGGATCTGGCGCTGATGACTGGCTCTTCAAAGACGCCTGCAGCAGGTGCGAATGTGAACATGTCCACAGCTGGAGGGACAGCTCCAAAGGTGGCGGCATTCAACACCACGAATTCCACAGAAGAGAAGCAAAAGGCCTCTTGCAAGTTCTGGGGGTCTACTCAGGGCTGCAGGAGGGGGGATCAATGCACCTATGGGCATTCATGGGAAGGCATCAACAAGCAGAATCGGTGTTTTGTCTGCAGTGGTGAAGGGCACATGTCGCGAGAGTGTCCTACTCGACGTGAGCGAGATCAAAAGGATTCAAAGAAGGTGGCAAAGGTGAAGAATCCTATGCCCACCAAGGAGTCGCCAGTGAGTGACCTGGAAGCTCCAGATAAGCCGAAGGAGGAGAACGCTACTACGACTTCTTCCCAACAGTCCTCGGGGTCCTTGAAGAGCACACAGGTGTCAAGGAGTCGGGAGGGGGAGAAGGTTGCAGGTGGTGGAGAAGCTTCGACGGGGAGTGCAGAGTCGGCGACGGCATTGATAGCAGAAGCTACAAGTTTGCTCAAATCATTGAGAGCGCTCAAGGCTTGCAGGCTGAGGCAGATTTGCAGGATACAGCCTGATGCCGAGAGGGAGGGCGAAGTGGCCTTGTTGGATGGAGGTGCAACTCATCCACTGAGGATGGCGGAGGTCGGGGAGAAGAACCACCTTATTCCGGTTCAGGTGGAGCTCGCTCATGGGTCGACCACGCTGTTTCGAAAGGAGGGATGCAGCACATTGTTGTCTTTGGACGAGGTTGAGCCGATCATTCCATTGAGCTTGTTGGTGCAACATGGCTTTCGAATTGACTGGTCGGCGAATGGATGCACAATCAACCATCCTCGGCAAGGGCCGATACTATGTTGGCTCCGGGGGGGTTGTCCAGTGATGAAAAGGACTGCAGCTCTTGCGATGCTCAAGGAGTTTGAGGAGCTGGAAAGGGGGCACTACAGCATCACAGCCGAGGACGCTCAGTGGTGGGAGGAGAACATCCCTGGGGTCCCGGGGGAGCTGTTGGAGTTCATGAAGGGCCAGTCATGGTGTCCGGCGGGAGATGATCTTCCATGGAACCGGAGGCAGAGGAGAATGCATCAGACTTCAAAGGGAATCATTGTGCACCTCTTCTCCGGCACCAATGTGAAGAGGTGGAAGGACTCGCTGCCCTCTGGGTACACCTGGCTGTTCGTGGACCCGCTCCTTGGGTCGAGGTATGATCTCCACTCGCCTCAAGTGTGGGGATATTTGTGCTGGTTGGCCAAGCAGGGCCGAATCAAGGCAGTTTTGGGAGGTCCTCCATGCAGAACAGTCAGCAGGTTGCGGAATCGTGGGCCACCGGGACCTCGCAAAGTCAGAGCAAGAGGTGATCTGAGGTGGGGGTTGGAGGATCTAACTCCTAAGGAGGCTCAGATGGTCGCGAACGACACCACGCTGGTTCTCAAGCAGGTTGCACTTTGGAAGCTGGCCAAACAGGGACAGCAGATGGGCCGATTGACAGGCTTCTTGCTGGAGTCGCCAAGGGATCCAGCATCCTATTTGGAGTCGGAGGAGGATCGGCAGAATCCATCCTATTTTGAGTGGCCTCAACTGCAACAGCTGTTGGAGGAAGATGAGACTATGAGGATGATCAACTTCGATCAGGGAGCGACAGGTCATCCACGGAGGAAGCCGACGGGGGTGTTGTCGAACTTGCCCATGCTGGAGCAGCTGGAACTATGCCAAGGAGGAGGAAACACCAACCCAGTCGGAGGGGATTTGAGTCAGAGGATGGCAGCATCGAGAAGCTGGTCAGAATGGTCACCGGGCTTTGTCAAGGCCATCCAGCTGGCATTGAGGAGTATGCTTGAGGAGGATGAGAACTGCAAGGTGGCGCGATTGGATGTGGACCAATGGCGGCGACATGTGCGGATGCAGCACATGCCCTTCAGGCGGGACTGCAGAACCTGTCTGGAAGCAATGGGCACGCAAAATCCACATCGGAGATCCAGGACAGCGTCTTCTGCGTACACCTTGGCGGTGGACATCATTGGACCATTCCCGGTGGGGAAGGATCCTGCAACTGGAAGAATGGCCAAGTACGCTTTGTTGGGAACGGTGCCGTTGCCGGTGCCGGACCATCTGCCGGGGGAACCGGCCGAAGAAGAGGATCTCACTGAGGAGGAGGTGAGGGGTGTGCCATCTTTGGATCAAGAGGACCTCGAGGAGGAAAACCTAGAACGTGATGGTCGTCAAGATCCACCAGAGTTAGAAGATCAGCAGTTGGTTGAGGAGGGTGAGGAGCAGGTGATTGGTCGTGAAGAGATCGATGAGCTTCGGAGGCCCCATCAGCTGCAGAACATTACAATGGTGGAGGTGATGGAAGACAGAGGTGTGGATTCGCTCCTGGGAGGCCTGTCCCGACTCTATGCGAGGTTCAGGTGTCTGGGCATCAATGTGATGAGACTACATAGCGACAGGGAGAAGGGCATGCTGTCGAGGAGGGTGTCAAATTGGTGCGGCCACAGACACCTGGTACAGACCTTCACGCAGGGCGACGATCCACAGGCCAATGGCCGTGCAGAGGCAGAAGTGCAACAAGTTAAGAGACGCATGAGGCTGATCATCCATCAGGCACAGGTGGAACCAGAACTGTGGCCAGGAGCGATTCGCCATGCGGCAGAGGAGAGATGCAGACAGCAGCTCAGCAGACTAGGAGTTCCGGTGCAACCAATGCTACGGTTTGGGTCGAAGGTGGCAGTTCGCACGAAGAGATGGCACAAGGCTGGTCAGTTGATCAACCCGTTCATCTCCATGCAGCTGGTTGGTCCAAGCCCACTGATGACAAACGGTTGGGTGGTTCGCCATCAAGGTCGTGTTCAACACGTTCGAACGGCTCTACAGCCATCTCCAGAAGCGGACCAAGCGGCTCTCGAGCTCCAGGAGATTGATGCAGACACCGTTCGCAGGAGAGTGACTGGAAAACAAAGTTTGGATCCTCACCCATTGCAGGACGTGATCTCACACATGTATGAGGAGGTGCAGCCTGCACAACAACCAGCCCTGTCCGCGTTGTCCAACTTCAGGACAGGGGGGGGGGACAGATCGAGATCCAGGAGCTTGCCTGCAGGTCGAAAGCAATGGAAGCTGTGGAGGGTCGGCAGAAGGTATGGTGAAGTGCCTCGAGTGCGATCTTTGGCAACTGGGGGAACATCGAGGAGCTGGATGTCGATTTTGTGAAGGAGATCTGCCGAAGGAGCAGGATGGGCTGCAGGTTCCGGGGGAGGAAGCTTTGGATTTGCAAGCCTGTTCATGGACTCAGGCAGTACAGTGGCATGAGGAAGAAGTTCGTAGCCACTGGCAGTTGAAAAGAATGTGGCTGGATCAGTTGAATCAGGTGGCGGTGGGTGCACAGCAGGGCAGTGAACATGGAGGATGGCTTCAAGTTCTGGAAGAACAGTTGATGGTCCGGGAGGAGTGTCTTCAACGCCAACATGGAGCCCTGGAGAGTTGGAGGATGGCGGCACTGCAGGCGGCGGGGGGTTCAGGAGAAGGAGAAGAGCAGAAGCCTTCGCTGGTCCTTCAGACCTACACGGTGTCGCTGGCCCAAGTGCGAAGGGAGTTGCACAAGTGGGTCGAACCCTTCAAGGATGAGTATGTCTCTCTGTCCACTACTACTGGAGCGATCTTTCCAACCACAGAGGAGGCTTTGAAGAAGGATCCGAGATATCCCTGGCGGGAAGAAGCGCCAGCGATGCTGGTCCCTACGGTCAAGAGTCCTCATGGACGGCACAGGGCAAGGGTGGTCATTTGTGGCAACCATCTCACAAAGTCCCAGGTGGAGACGAAGGCTGTCAGTCCATTGGAAGCATCATCGATCTCTTCACCCTTTGAACTATATGCAGGAGGGGCGGATGCGACAGTTTTGCGAGCTTTACTCAGGAAGAGTGCTCTGGAGAAATGGTCCGTAGCGAGTCTGGACGTGAAGACAGCGTTCTTGCTAGCTCCAAGAAGAGATGCACAGCAGAGGCTGCTCATTACGCGTCCTCCTCGGGTGCTGGTGGAAGCAAAGGTGTGCGATGCTGACGAAATCTGGGAGGTCAGAAACTCGCTCTACGGTCTCCAGGAGGCGCCTCTCAACTGGGCGAGATTCAGGGACGAAGAGATGGCCAAGTTCCGCTGGACTGATGAAGGTGAAAACTGGAAGCTGGCTCGCACTCAAGAGCCCAACTTGTGGAAGGTGATCCTCGATGATCCATCCAAGTCAAGGTTGCCCGACAAGGTGTACGGATTTGTCGCTGTGTACGTCGATGATATCCTGGTGACTGGTGATGAAAGAGTGACTCGATCGACCATCGCTCGGTTCCAGCAACAGTGGAAATGCTCGACACCGGAGTGGCTGACGCCTGAAAGCAGCTTGAGGTTTTGTGGCTTTGAGATTGCCCAGGAGAAGAGGGGACTTCGTTTGCATCAGGAGTCATACCTACGAGATCTTTTGGCCAGATATCCTGATGTCAAGTCAGCTCAAAGCCCGCTGCCAGGTGTCTTGGATGAGACTGAGGAGACGAATCCTGAGGTTGCAGAGGTCCGAAGGGCGCAAACCTTGGTTGGAGAGTTGTTGTGGCTGGCAGTGAGGTCGAGGCCAGACATCTCCTTCGCCGTGTCGTGGATGGGGAGGCAGGTGACACATTGTCCATGTCGAGTCCAACGATATGGAGCGCAGGTCCTGGGGTTCTTGCAAAGCACCATGGGTTTGGGCCTGTTGTATGAAGCTGCACCTGATGAACCCCAGTGGGAAGAGAGCAAGGGCATTCACATGTATTCGGATGCTTCATTCGGCCCCCCTGGATCTCGCGGTCACCAAGGCCTTATAGCCATGTACTCAGGTGCTCCTATACAGTGGGAAAGCAAACAGCAGCCCTTTGGCACCCTATCTAGCTCAGAAGCAGAGCTCATGGGGTATTCTGATGCCTTAACCATGGGTGAGTCGTGCGCTTCAATCGTTGTGATTTTGGAAAGTGGTGATGCGAATGAGGTCATGGACTGCGTCCTACATGGTGACTCGCAGTCTGGCATCCGCATTTTGCAGTCACCGGATGGCCCATGGCGGACGAGACATCTCAGGCTGCGAAGCTTTGTGTTGCGGGAGCGAATCCGCACGGGATGCTGGCAGGCACGTCACGAGCCGGGAGCATCGTTGTCGGTGGACCTATTGACAAAGTCAATTGTCAGTCCGCCTTCGTGGAGGAGGTTCCGGGAGTTCACTGGCTTGTGTGCTGGAGCAACCCAGGTGAAGGAAGCGGAGGACTGTGTGCAGGTCAAGAGACTGATCGGGCTTCTGAGCGGGCTGATAGGCATTTCATGTTGGCAGCCAGTTAGTGCGGTTGCCAAGGTCGCCACAAGTGTGACCATTGCAGCGGTAGCTTCAAGTGTAGCTTGGCTGATGGGTAGGAAGGGTGGAGATGACCCCAAAAAAGAGGGTGAACCGGCATTTGCTCGGACAGGGGCGTCCAAAGAGGGCAATGTCGAAAGAAGAAAATGTCAAGAAGAGACAAGGGAAAATGAACCTGTCTCCAAACCCGGTCGCGACTTTAGCCCAAAGGGCTCCCCGGGCGGTGCATCCGCGTGCGAGCCATGGATTCGGCAGCCTCCGCGGGTGAGTGCTTTGAGGGCACCAATCACCCATGTGGGACTTGGCACGGATCTTCCATGGGAGCTGATGAGGTTTAGTACGCCGCCGACTGGAACAGACAGGTGGGAATGCCTTGGTGTGGGCCTCGGTGGTGGCGAATGGTGGGTCAGGGTGCTGAAGAAGTCCCGAGTGCGAACCTTCCATCCATTGCATCGTGGAACCCCAATGTCGATAGCAAGACTCTCGGCGACCAGAGTCACGGTGGCTTTTTCGCGGGGAAATCCGCGAGAAGTTTGGAAGCGAGTGGTCATCACCGATGACTGGATCGAAAACAGGGGCTCAGATGTGGAAGGGCTTCATGAATGGTGTGGCTACACTTTCTTCTACGTGAAGTTTGAGGCCCTCCCAGAAGGAAGAGCAGGAAATCTCGACCGACGTGATGTCAGGCCGGGACCACTTCCTCCACCGGGATCGGTGGCCGCAGACGGGGGCTATGGCGGCTCCATTCCAGGAAGGTCAAGAGCAGTGCAACGAGGTCGAAAGGCCTTACAAGGTTCAGAGACGATAGAAGGCGAGGAAGTCACCTACGGTGGAAGGGGCATCAGTGCTTGTGACATTGAGTCCATCGAGGGTGGCACGAAGACGGGCTATGAGCTAAGGCTCCAAGGACGTGAGCATCGGGGGGAGAGCGGAAACAATTCCGGCCAGGTGACGGAAGGGACGTCCCAAGCGGCCAATTCAAGCGAACACTTGCCTCCCGAAGCTGACCAATGGCCAATTTGGCTAGGAATTGAGACCGCAGTACTACAACATCCTCACCGTGATGGTGAACGACAAGATGAGGACTGTGAGTCGGACGGAAGCTTTGAGTTTTTGCGCAGCACTGGATGAAAAAACCTGGTGCTGACGCGTGTTTGAATGATGGTACAACCATCAGGGGGAGTGTGAATCCCTGCATTTTCACTCGATGTGATCATAGGTGTGACATACACCACTTAGCACCAACAAACGCTGTTCATGGCTCAAGAAAAGCATCGTCCGTTTTTTCCCTTGAAGGAAACTCAGATTCCAATAGCGACGGCCTCCAACCTAGTAGCCATGGCCTCCAACGCACGGAAGAATCCATTGGAGAACACTGACACCGAACCGTTCTTCCCACGGTGACGTGAGTTCGTTCCGATGCCATGTGAACTCGCAGATCTTGGAACCTGGTCAGCCCCAACAGGTGCCCCGAAAATGTATCGTAGTCACATATAGCACCAACAGGAGCCCTTGATGAGCCAAATGGAATGGACGTTTTGACTTGTTGACTGTCTACTCTGAACTCTCCACGCGTGGTGAGGGAGTTGAAAGGCATTGTGTTTTGAACCCCGGGATATCTATTTGCGACTTGTGTGTATATAATATGGATACCTTGTGCTATTGAATTTCCTGAGTGTTACTCGCTGTTGAATTGTAGAGAACTTGTGCTGACCCAAACAAGAACTCCTCGCAAGCAATGGTTCTAGATGGTGGTCTTAGCATGTTTTAGCTTGGCCTTTCTTAAAGGAAAAAGTAAGTGTAGGATAGTGTGGGTGGGCTTTTTGAAGATGGAAGGCCTTGTGGCCTTCCACAATTTTATTCCAATCCGCAACCTGTCTATTCCGGCTGATTACTTCCTTATACCAAAGGTTCTCCTTTCCTTATGTTTGAAGGATTGGAAAACCCATGGACTTCACATCTCCCCTTGCCTTGCGATCCAACCGAGCAATAAACCACTAGGATGGAGGCCATCGCTCTTCGGTTGGAGGCCATCGCTACTAGGGTGGAGGCCACTACTACTAGGATGGAGGCCATTATTATTAGGTTGGAGAGGAAAACAAACCCCTTCTCCTCGCAGAGAGCACCACGCGCAGTGAACCTCGCCCCACTCGACATGGACGAGCCCTCCGGGCTGCCCCACTTGCCCCGGCCCGGAACGATGGGAGGGTAGGAGCGCGGCAACCTGGTCACGAAACACCGGAGGAAGAGGGATCCTTTGTCATCTGTAAAGGATCCATGTAGGTCAACAACACAAATGTGATAAGCTTTGTTGAAACAAACTCCATCTGAATTATCAACTAAATCATTGGTCAGGTTCTTCTACACAAGCTTCCAAATGTGTCCAGTGAAGATTTATTTGCATTCTCCTGTTGAGCCCTTGGGTTGGTTTGTACTACAGCTTGCTGGAAAGAGTGTTCACTATTCCAGTGTGAATGTCTGTGTCTCCGCCTCTGAGGGCCATTGGGATGCAGGACGTTCCGCAATATCATGTTAAGGCCTATGGGAAGTATACCATACTAAACAACATCTAGAAGAGTCAGTGGGTCATGGAAAGCACTCCAGTCTATCCCAGTGCCCCTGGCTCACATAGGCCTATTCTGAAAAGGACGAGGCTTGTACCTGCAAAAAACTGATGCAACAAGTATCAGTAACAGTATGAGTATGAAAAAATATGAAAAGCTTATAAAGACGTAACAACATCCCCAACAACTCAACAAAGAAACCCCACCATCTACGTGAGTCTGGCACCACGGACACCGCTGACCGCGGAACAGCTCCAGTTCCCGTCCCCATCGATCGATCCTCGCCATCTGGGGCTCCCGGGCTCCGACATGGCTTCCATGTCCATGACCACTCGGATGGGCGCGCGGCCCTGGGGAGGTGGGAGGTCTCTGCACCACGACATGCCAGTCGAGGGGTGGTCGGAAGGGTAGGTCTGGACGCCACCTGGCGTGCAAACCTGTTGGGTGACCCGGTTCAAGTCATTTCTGAGTATTTCCCAAGCATCCAACAACAAACAAGTTCTTGCGTAGTTAGATGGTGGTACAGGATGTCGTTCATCAACAGTAGAAATGGCTGTAGTAGTGGGTAGTTTGTCTGCAGTTGAGGAGCTACAGCTGCACAACATGTGCTGCGAGACTTGCCTTCAGAGCCTGAACCTAATCATATTGAAATGATGAGACGAGTGGTCGGTGTTCCATTCGCCCCCTCAAGGGTCCCTGCCCGGGATCTCGAAACAACAAACGACTGTTCTTCCACGCTGCATGACACCTGTGATCCATCAAGAACAAAACAACAAGTGACCACCGTGACGACAGCTGAGGCTGTTCGTTCCGGACGCGGAGGTCCAGCACCAATCTCGACGCCTTCGCAGCCCCTCAGCGTCCAGCCATTTCTCTTCGCTCTTTGCAGTGTTGACAAACATCCTGCTTCAAGGAGTCATAGGCCTCAGTCCACAGAAGCCTGAGTCTTTTGGTGAGCTTTGCCGGGCTCTTGTTCAGCAAGGTGCTTGGACTCCTACCATGAAATGACACGGACATGCGTAGGTTTGACAAATGGCAACTCCATCGGGAATGAACATGTCATGGAAAGGACACCTTTCATTGCGTCGAGTCAACATCTCCACAAATAGTTAAACTAAAGGAGCTGAACCCCTACAGCAACAAACTTCAATTTGCTTGAGGACAGTGCACAACATAAGTCACATGAGGCCGCATGCCGCATGCATCATATTTCTATGAATACCTCATGCAGGTAATTAAGCCCTGCACATAGCCCTTGGAGTTGCTGCTGAGCCCCTCACCCTGCCACAATGCCGGCATGCCTGGAACTCCCAGTGATATTGCGCAAGTGCATCCAGGCTTTAAGGATTTTGGGATAGTGCCGAAGAGGGATGTCCACCAACAGCATCAATCATCGAAAATACAATAAAAAAACAACAACTGCATCCATCATTGGAAATCATGGCAATTCCGCATAAAAAAATGCCGCTGAGCCACTGAGAAGCCACCCTTCTCAACGAATCGATCGCACTATCAAAGAAATGAGCCATTTCCAAACCAACATCTTCTGAGCATGCCACCTCAATCAGTCTAATCAGTCCAAGGATTCATTCATATCTTCACTTGTGCAACGGCAACTACAGTACCTGAATATGCTTTTTTTTCCTAAATAGCAAATAACGAGATAGTTGCACATCTCCATATCTCCTCCCATGTGCCTCTGAACGACTTCGAGCGTGGAAAACAGGCCCGCGGAACACCGACCCGGCCTGCTTTTGAGACTTGTCCGGTACAGAGGCCATGCAGTCCACCACTCCCCACGACTCCCAAAACTCCTCGCCGTCGCGGCAAAAACGAAGCAACCAAAGCGTGGCCGCCACCAGGAGACGAGGCGGTGGTTCGAGGGGCTGTTCTTCTGGATTTGGTTGAACGTCCCGGTTGGATCCGTTGAAGGTACAAACTTCTTGTATCTTCCTGTAATCAGAAAGGGTGAAAAAGAATCGTCGCTGATCGTTGGTTCTTGGTCCTTCAGGACTTCAGAACGCTCTGCCCGAAGGCCGATTTGGCTGTCCTTATCTTGCTCGAAGTGTGTCAAGATCACGTCATACCTGCCCCCCGAGTGGCTGGACTGGACTGTGGCGCCCAACATGAGAAACCGTCCATAGCGACCGACCAACCGTCATCGCAGCGAAGAGGAGCAGCCATTCAGTCGTAACCGGATATTGGTAGTTACGAGACCAAGAAAAATTACCATTTGTAGATCTAAAGACTTAGCGAGTATGTCTCCACATGGTCCAAATGACTGGGGCTTCTGAGAAGGTAGGGGATTTTTCATAGAAACCATGTGAGCGTCTGCCAAAACGCACTGTCAAGTAGAAGTAGAGGACATGATTCAGCAAGGTGATGGCTTTTAAACGGGGCCTATCGCTTTTGCAGGTTCTAGCCCCAATGTCAACATAGCTGAACATATTGCCCGGGATATTGTTAATATGGCTTTTGAGGGGGGGCCTATCCCCTTTGCAGGTTTTAGCATGTTTAAATGTTTAAGCCAAATTACTAAATTCACGACCGCTCTTTACTGAATTGGTCATCGCACGTTTTTGGAGGTCGCTCATGTGACTGTGCAATTCTTTCGCAACAAAAGCCAAATACCCTGCTAGTTCACCATGTTCCTTTGGATACCTCACTCTTGGGTAGCTGGTGTGTTTATTTAATTTCTTTAGATACCAACGACCAGTGTTTGACTTCACGAAGCATCACCGAAATGGTGGTCGAACCCCTTCTACCTCATGTTCTGCACCTCTTGAATCATCCGAATCCAAGCACCCAACATCACTTCAAGGCTATTCCATCCCATCCATCCCCATAAATCCATCAAGCTGGACTGGAGTGCATGGATCCTACATGATACCACCACATCGTACCATCCTAAGCAAACAGTTCTGTGATGTCCTGCGTGTTTCCCAAGGACCGGCTCTCGAACTCCAAAGAGTTGGCCCCAAACGAACCAGCCACCTGACCGTCGTCAGAACCAGCTCACCCGGTGTGTCCACTAGGGGAGAACCAGCGAAGGTGCGCCCACCGGAACAAGTCCCAGTCGGTCGGTTCCGCAGGAACATGATCTTGCGATGGTATGAAGGTCCCAGACGGTCCCAGTGTGCTCAGTGATGCATCAACTGTTGATGCAAACAGCCTGACCACGCATTCATGCTGCACAACTCGTTCTTGTGTTTTTGAAGTCATTGTAAAGAAGTCCACCTCTTCTCAAATTGCATATGCAAACGAATATGAATACAATGAACCTGATTCTTCACACAATGCTTTGAACAAACAAAGCTTCCTTTCGCATGCGTACTCCCTGGTGCTCCCAATTCCTCAAGTTCTTCACACGGGAACAAAGTCTAGAATCCCCAAGAAGTCTGCTTGAATAATCCCGACTGGAGCGGACATGTAGGCGTCTGTGGTCTTCTCAAAGGTGTCTTCGCGCAGATCCGCCGGTTGGTACCTCGACCTGGTTGGTTCAGGCTTCATCCAGCTGTGGGAGGATAAAACGGTTCACACCACGCATGTTGAGGATGTTCAAGATGC